TATTACATTGACATACATTTTAAGGTTAAAACATTTAAATTTCGGAATAATGTGACAGCTACGCCATGGGTAAGTGACGAGTTATTGGAATATACACGCAAACACAGGGATTTACATGAGATCAGGCGTCAGTATCCAAACAACCCAGTAATATCAGAGTGTATCATGACATATTATAACCTTAGTAAATCTGAGACGTTACGTGCCTAAGTTTGCCTTACATTGAAAAGAGGTTGGTAGAAAGCAAAAATCTATCCAAGGAAATATGGAATGTAGTCAATGAGGAAATAGGCACAAAAACCAGATCATCAAACATCAGCCTCAAAGATATAAATCTTCTCTCAAATTGATGTACCGATAAATATGGTTCCAGACACATTTAATTCACACTTTTTAAGTGTAGCTTCCAAATATATAATTGAAAGTGATCTGTCTATGTGTAGGCAATACATCTGCAAACATCTGCACAATACAGATGTGTCAACTTTCTCTCCACCGACCATCACACGGGGCCTTATAGATAAAGTGGTACAGTCGATGTTAAAGACCCGTTCAACTATTGACAAATATGACACATCACTAAATATATTGTTATACATATGGCCATTTATCTCAGACATTTTAGTAGTCTTATTTAATATTATCTTTGACACCGGCGTGTACCTGGATGTGCTTAAGAGTACCAGGTTGTGTCCTGTCTTCAAGGGGAAGGGTGACAAGTGTGATGTGAACAATTACAGACCAATAACGATTGTTCCTACTATATCTAAAATTCTGGAATCTATCCTATCTTCCCACATAACGGGCCAACTTGAGGACAATGAATTGCTGACAGATAAGCAATTTGCATATCGGCAGAAGATGTCTACAATTACCGCGGCACATAAAATATTTGATTGCTTAGTTTCCGGTCTGGATGAGAACTATAAAATGGCGGGCATATTTTGTGACTTGTCCAAGGCCTTTGATGTGATTAATCATGAACTGTTGTTGGATAAGTTATATCATTATGGAGTACAGGGTAAGAGCCACAAACTTCTCACCTCGTTCTTATCGGATCGGAGACAAGTGGTAAAATTATCCTCGAACGGTAGAAGACTGGAGTCCGTTGCTGGCAGTATGAACTTAGGAATTCCACAAGGGTCTGCCTTAGGAAACACGCTATTTCTATTATATATAAATGACCTTCCCATTACCATCACAGCCGGCCTCTCCGTACTTGTTTGCGGATGACACAACGGTTATAGTTAGCGCGCGCACGTACGAACAGCTGAGACAGAGAATCGATGAAGGGTGTGAGCAGCTCCAGAGGTGGTTTTCATCGAATGGGTTGCCGCTGAATATCACTAAATCCAACATCATGGTTTTCTCGAGTCGAGGTCTCACAGTTGCTCCGTGTGTAGCAAGCAATCCGATGCCGATATGCAATGATAGTAGGTTCCATGCCTTCACTCTGGACTCGAACCTTAACTGGAAGTGCCACGTTGACAGACTGAGTGGTGCAGTCTTTGCGTTGCGTAAACTGAAATTGCTCATTTCTGATTCTGTATTAAGACAGGTCTATTTTGCATATTTCCACTCGCTGATGTCGTACGGTTCACTCATATGGGGTAACTCCACGGATGCCAATAGAGTCATGCTAATGCAAAAACGTGCCGTACGCGTATTGGTTGGGGTAAAACACAGACATTCCTGCAGAAATCTCTTTGTAGTGCAAACCCATAATGACGCACTACTCACTCTACTTATACGAAATTATAATGTATGTTAGAAATAATTTGTCTTCATTTGGTACTGTGAATGTTTCTGGCATCCCACTTCGCCGTACCGGTCATTTGAGAACAGTCCCTCGACGCATGGCACTTGCAGAGAAAAACCCGCGTGTCATCGGACCTACTTACTATGAGCGTTTACCCGCTACTCTCAGACTTGAACCGTCTGACGAAATATTTGGGCGCCGGCTGAAAGACCTTTTCTTGAAAAATCCTATATACTCCGTAAAAGTATTTATAGACTTTAAATTGTAACGAATTCAGTATTTTCTATTTTTATTCTAATTTTTACCGCATTAACATACTCTTGTATAATTGTTATCAACTTATGACGATCCTTGATGGAGAATGATATTTGATATATAATTTAATGACAACAATATTATATAATGAATTGTTAATTTTCTAATTATTGTGTGCTTTTCTTATAATTTTCCTTTTTGTCTGACGATCTCAATATAATTTCTTATACTTTGACATGTAGTGCAATTTATACTGCAATGTTATATTTGAGAAGTATATGAATCTGAATATGAATCTGAATCAATTGTTTTAACTTTGTTAATTGTATGTTTTATGTGACACATATACGTCGCCTTACTTTCTCAAAATTGTATCTTATAGCACAAAAATACTGTAATGCAAGAAATGGATTATATATATAAATTTTGCCGGTTGATTTCACATCACATTTCCTTCGTATTCACACACTGGTTTTTATCTATTATTAAAGTAATGCATTCAAATTAACACCCTTGGCCATCTTCTGAATAATTACTCTCTTTAAGATGCATCGAATAGTCTTTTTTTTATTTCGTTTAATTTTCTCTCATTTCTGTGGCGTGCTCTCATAGGTTTTTTTTTTTTTTTTTATTTATTATTTATTTATTAACTTATATACATTTTTATATTCGTTTATACGACACTGAAACCCTTGAGGGGTTTAAAGGTGTGTCACGTCTGACAAATTTGACGTTGGATAACAAATCTAATACTAAACTAAACACTAAACACTTACATTTACATTTAATACAAAAACATGAAATGACTCTAAAAATAGATAAGAAATATTAAACAATATTAATAATAATACACAATTTATACCTAAAAGTAGTTGAAGGTAGATACAAATAACCACCAGCATAAATAAAAGAGACCGAATTCAGAAAAGCGAGAGCGAGCGAGATGGATGTTATTTCACAGTACCATCTTCGATTCTCGCAATCGCCTGCCCCTCACAACACGTTTGATCGTATACAGGTTGATTTTTTTTCTTTCTATAAAAGATCTTTAACCTATTATTAAACTTTGTAGTTTGGAATTGCAGTCTTAAATCTGTAGGTAATTCGTTAAGTAATTTTGGTATGAGTAAATTAGCAAGCCTGGCTCCATAAAAATTAGTATATCTTGGTAAAATATATTTTTCAGAAGTCATAGCACGGGTAATTAATTTATGACTGATTTTATTAAGACTAATATTACTAGAAGCGTTGTTATTATATTGTTTTAGTATTATTAACTCAAATTGTTCGAAAATCGGTAATGTGTTGTAGTGATAGAAGAGTTCGATAGGACTGTTTTTATATTTATTAAGTATGAATGTGGGTGATATAATTTTGAGTATGCGAAGTTGTAATTTGTAAATTTCGTTCAAATAGGATTGAAATGTTCTTCCGTATATACTAAGGCCATATGATACCACTGAGTCCACCATAGTTTTATATAGAAGAATGAGTGTAGAAGTAGGCAAGCGATATTTGAGTATCTTAAACTTGGCGTAAAGAGACCTTAACTTGTTGCATACCAGATCGACATGACTTCTCCAATTAAAATACTTGTCGACTATTAGGCCGACATATTTACATTCGGAAACCACAGGAATAGAGGGACAACTACAGTTAATTACGGGACTATGAAGACACGAATGCAAATGAGCAACTATATTTGGTACTTCTTGCGTTTTGTTGTGAGCAGAGTGAATATGCAGAAGATTGGTTTTATCTGCATTAATTATCAGGCCCATGTCATGAGACCACTTGCTTACGTTATTAAAGTCTGTTTGAAGATTTAGTTGAGCTTCACTGAGGTCAGCATGGGCAGAAACAATAGCTGTATCGTCTGCAAATTGATACATAGTGCAGGTTTTAACCGCTGTAGCCATATCGTTTACATATATTATATATTCAATTGGACCAAGAATTGAGCCTTGAGCAGTTCCATATTTTACATCTGTTTTATCACTCTCAGTGTCTCCTATTTTTACAAATGTCTGCCTATTTCTATGGTAATCTTGAAGCAAGTTTAGTAGCGGTCCTCTGATTCCACATTGTTGCAGTTTATCGTGAAGTGTTTTATGTAAAAGGGTATCAAATGCTTTGCTATAGTCAATGAAACCTACTAAGACATGCTTTCTGTTGTTGAGATGCTCATTGATTTCATCGCTAAAGATGTCCAACATTTGGCTTGTACTTTTATTAGGTTGAAAACCAAATTGGTGAGGAGTTATGATATTATTTTTACAAAGATAGTTCTGGATTTGGTCTCCAATGAATTTCTCTAGCAATTTATTTATGCAAGACAAAATAGTGATAGGTCGGTAGTTTGAAAATAGCGCATGTTGTCCCTTTTTGTATATAGGTCGTATCATGCCCACCTTTAGTTTATCTGGATAGATACCTGAAGAGACACTTACATTGATTAAAGTTTTAATGGCAGGTACTATTTCAGTTGCAATCAATTTAACATCTCTACTGCGAATTAAGTCCGCACCAGGAGCTTTGTCTGTGTTTAGCTTCATAATTAATTTATTTACTTCTTTGTCTTTTGCTGATTTTAGTCTTAAGCTTCTGTCTACAATATTAGGATTACTATTAAGATTGAGGAGTGGTATTGTACAGTCAGTTTTAATCCTATCCATTTAAAATCATATTTTAATTGCCATGAACGTGCAATCAGTTTCAGACGGTAATGTTTTTCCACGCTCTGTAATTGGTCAGCGTAAGTTATTATACAGGATTATTTGTAAAATACTAACAAACTCGCAGAACTATATTATCTCTATATTATATATTATCATAAACAACAACTTTTGTTCCATGACTTTTTATAAAACATTATGTACTAGCGTGGCAGTTAGGCTATATGAGCGTATGTGTCGCATACGAGCGGGTTGATAGGTGGTTCGTTCGTTGTGACGCTTTTAAGAAGAAAAGTGGACTGTATAGAGCCCCTCTCCGGACATTCCGTCTGACGCATCGGCAAGTAAAAGGAGTGCTGAACAACTGAACTATACAGCACTGACCTTAGAGGTGGGTTTCGTGCTCGTATGTTGTCCTTAGCAGCGTCCTTTCTCAACTCTCAGCTGACGTCCTAATTAAGGATCTTCGACAAGTGCGGTGGAACGAGTGGCGGTTACATTAGCGTAGTGGCGGTCAGATGAGACTACCAGTTATGATAATGATCACTTGGCTTATTCACGGAACAATGTGTAAGTACAGTACAATAACACAGTAAAACACAAACGGTATTTCACAGACGGCGAAACAGGACTACACAGAATGTGTTAAGTCTTTAAATATGGCGGTGAATCTAGAGAGCTAAACGAGGGTCGATGGGTGGTCCAAGACGGACGTACATTACACAGGACGGTTAGTAGCAGACCGTCCCAACCATGAACAGTAGTTCAGTTGCAGCAGGGTAAAAAGGTGAACTTAACCTATCGCTGCTAACACATCATAATTACCTCCATGCTACTAAACTGCTGAACTGCCTCTGTCGCCGAATGACCACCATGACGGACTGCCGCCGTGCCGGAAGAAATATTTGTATGGCCTACATTTATTTCTGTCGTGAGTTTGGATGTAATGTGTGGTTGTCTATATGTGTGTGTCCATGCTCCATGGCACCCACAATACGGGGTTTCCCTAGTGCGGGGCCATAAGTGTGTGCGCGTTATTATTGTTATTATTGTGGCAAAAATAAACTTTTAATTTTTTTTATTGTACTTTCTGACACTTTTTAGATCAGTATTTGGTGGTAAGGTAGTAAGTTCAACCATGCAGGAGTCCTCCTCGATGACTTCCAGGCTTGCTCCTGCATTTGACATCGGAATTGGTATTTACGCGCTTTACGCTTACTTTTGTTGCAGCAGATTTATCACCGTTTACAGCAATTTATTTAAAACGAGTTACCAGGGAAAAAGCGGAACAACTGTTTTCCTAGATCAAATCCCAAGGAGCACAGTTTATACGCCTTAAAACTGTTATACCTATAAACAGTCTTAATATGGTATAGATTGAGATAATAGTTCTCTATAAATGGTTTTTAAAAAAATAAATTGTTCTTATACACTATTTCTCTCAAGTCAAAATTTTAAAACCTTCTTAATACCAAACAACTTAATTAGGTGTAATCTCTCTTAAGATTTCATCTTATAGTCCTTATTTTAAGTTCATCTGTAGAACAATTGATTATTTTTAGTAAAATTGTTCTATACACGTCCAGTAAAGTCTATTAATACTCTAAAAACTAGTTTTCTTAAGTTTATTCTAGATATATTTTATTTAATGACATTCTGTAGTGTTTGTACTTATTGACAAACACGTTATAGCGCGTCTTCAGTAGATTTTATTTTAAAAAATACTACAATTATGGTTTTTGCTCTATTGGACGTTGTAAGAGTTCATGCAAAATGTATTATGTCACATCATTCGATACAATCAGCGTGCCAATGCCAATTGTTCAAAATCCCCAAAAATCACGGTTAAAATCCCCCAATTTAGGGAGAGCCAAGTTCATATTCCCCACAAATTCCTCACATCTCTAGTTTTCATTATTTATTAGAAATACATCGCTTAAAAATATAATAAAAAATTAAGAAGCTCAAAATGTAATAATCTATTACGTTTGTTGTGAATGTAAACAGAACGTAAAATGTAAAACTAATTATAAAATTAGATGACCTTAAATCGTTTATTTATTTTAATTAGATTCAACATTAATCACAGGGATCGGACTAGGTAGAGTTTTTTACCTAAACTTCGAGGTACATAGACAGAAAATGGAGACTGCCTTACGACAATATTTTTTAAGTCCCAGGACCTTTCCGGGATTGGGGAAATCATTTAATAATATTAAAAATTGACTTAATGAAGGACAGCCACGTACACTATATTTATCTTAACTTTGCGTCGCACAGTGGGTCGGATCTGCGATATTGCGGACATTGGATTTTTTTTTAAATGCCTCTCTAAAAAAGTGCCAATCGAGAGATCCTATTGTACTAATTAAATATTGTCATATTTAATTTTGCCATAAATAGAATAGTTCAGTAGGAAAAAAATAAAATGTGTATTTTTTGTATGGGACCATACCTTTAATGCCCATCGTTGCAAAGTCTTAGTCGATCCTGTCTTGGAATCACTACAGACGAATTATTAGACCTATCTTCTATAGATTTGCGTACTAAACGCGCGCCCACACCTACCTATTCACTACTTATACGCGTCAGAAAGTGCAAAAATTGCTCATAAATACAATTATTGGTTGAATACACTAATTAGCAATGATCGGAATAGGTAGGGTTTTTTCGAGGAACACAGACAGAAAATGGAGAGTGCCTTACGAGAATATTTTTTAGGTCCTGGATTTTTTCGAGATTCGGGAAATCACTTAAGTACATTAAAAAAAATACGTTATTTGGGATGGGTAGGTTAGACTATATTTATCTTAACTTTGCGACGAATTATTGCAACACCAAATTTTCGGATTTCCCCAATCCCGAAAACGTCCTGGGACCTAAAAAATATTGTCTTAAGGCAGTCTCCATTTTCCGTCCATGTTCCTCGAAGGTTAGGTAAAAAAACTCTACCTATTCCGATCCCTGCATCAGTCTTTGAAAAAAAAAAAACATTTTTTTTTGCCTTTCAAAATTAAGTAGATTGATTATTTGTTGTGCCTTTGATGACACTATGTTAATGTTAGAAATAATCAATGAGTTTCGACCTATACTTAATATTTAAAGTTGACGAGTGGTAAGTTGTGGTGTGGAAGTACCGACTGCTCGGCTTTGTTTATCAATAGCTGATTTCGTTTTGCTTGTTACCGGGGACCGGCCTAATCGGGAGAAAGAATCGCGAACTCAACACGCACCGACTGGTAATTTTACAATTCAGAACCAAGTGCTCTAATAATAATTCTGTTTAAGCTGCTTGTTAATAATACGATTGATGTACGATGTTGAAAAACACGTCGATATAGTCCATCACAGTGTTTCTAACAGTAACGATCAAACTAGCGATGTATCAGCAATTGATAGATTAAACAAAATGATAAAATGTTAGAATCCCCACAATTTCCCCCACAGAGCGCCAATCCCCGCAAAATCCCCAATCTAGTTTAAATTCCCCGCGATTTAGGGAATTCACCACAAATTGGCAACCCTGCATGCAATAGTCGTAATTCGTGCGCGAGCCGGTCTCGGCCGGCATTTTTGTTTGTTGACAAATAAGTACACATTGTGAAGTAATTCCGTGTTCTGTAAACTACTGTACTTCAATGTTGTGTATGTGTATTGTGCCGTCTATCAATAGAATACAGTGAAATTATTGTGTGAAATGTGGTTGGCGTGAAGAAATAACCTCAATTTTGTAATGAAAATTTTATTTCTTCCAACATAAGTTAGGTATGTCATTAAAATATTCCTTATATTTATATGATAGGGAATTTATCCACCTTTCTAGTCATATATAACACATTACATATAATTATACAGAATAACGTTTTTTTGCGACAAATTGGATTTTTTAAAATGTTTTTTTCACCTAGTGTTTTGAAAAATTTTTTATTGCATAATACGCTCACCATTCCCTATACTTTTTATAAAGGTTTTGTAATACTGACAAAAGAAAAAATCGCTATAGAAACATCTCGTTTTGTAGACAATCATAAAAGCTTCATAGAGATGAATATTCTCGTACAAGATCAACTACACTAAAGCAAGTAAAAATAATATTTACATATTCTAAAGTTTTTCTATAGATAAAGCCATGCCACAAAATGCTCCCAACAGTGTTTTGAAAAAAGCTTTAAATTCTTATCGCCATTTTTATTTTTAAAGAATGACTATGAAGTAGCCGAGAAAAATTTCTTTTCTTTTTAAAAAGTAAATCTAAGTTGAAATTAGCTTCAAGAAGCCTAGAACTTATTGAAAATGGTTAGTTTTGTGACTTATTTTGTATATTTAAGCTTTCTATAAATATTTAAAACCGAAAATCGATAACTGTATTTTTTATCAAGTTTATATTTATACATAAATATTTAAAATTCAGCGAGTGCATTACTCTTATGACAGGTTTTATATCACTTTTCATAGTGAATTTAAAGTCGCACGTCAAGTCGCGATTTCTAAATGATTAAGCATTGCGCGAAAAAGTCAGAAATATTATATCTAATTTCGCCATGTTGTAATTTTGATAGTTTATATTTTGTAAGCCATTAAACTTGAAATCGATTAGTATTAAGAGAATTGCCTCCTATGTTTGTAACGCTTTAGTATTTTGGTTTTAAAATAGCATTACTAAGAAAACTATCATAGACTATAAATTATCTAAAAACTGTCTACTAGACTAAGTAAAACTGTCTACATTCTACAAATGGTCTCGTAGCATTCTAGAAGGGTTACTTGAGAAAAACTATAAGAAACACTCTTAACACTACCTACAAATAGTTTCTCTAAGCACTCTCGTGATCTACTAATAAAGTTGTGCCCACTTTTACTTTTAACTATCTAGAAACCTTCTTCGAGATATCGTAAGAGAATTTGAACTCTTAAAATATTCAATCGAATTAAATTCTTTTAGATATCTTATAGTATATATTTAGATATGGATATTTACTGTTAAGTAATGATCTTACAAAAAATATACGATACACATAAGAATATTGTTTTAAAGAATGTACTAATTTGTTACACGATAAGATGTACTTCACATGACGATGTAAAATCCTGAAAACTGGCTAAAATGAAAGGCTGAAACGAATTATTTAAGATTAAAATATCTAACTGTGCACATAATTTTTATAAGGAGATATTTCTCTTTAAGTACTACAGAGAACCTGCTAAATCTTGGTTTTCAACTGAAGCCTTGTATTAATTAAATTCACATTTATCTCAAAATTTGTAAATTGCCCAGCGGTTTACGCTGCCCCGTCAGTCGCCATCGGGCGCTTGTCGACATCGAATCTGTGTCATATTTTCTCCACCTGTTCTTTTTTTATTCAAATTAATTGTCAGCGCGCGTGTTGTGGGACGCGAGGGGCGGTCCCCCGTACCTCAATGTAAGTTTGCGTTGAAATACCTCACCTTAAATGTTTTTGTGCGAAAGTGAAATCTAATGAATTATTAAACAACAATTGTTGTGTATCAAAGTTGTTGTGTATCAAAGTTGTAGTTTATGATGTTAATAATATAGTCCTGCGAGGTTATTT